GGTAAGTTTCTATAGACGTTTCATACCGAAATGCGCATTACTTATGAAACCTCTGACCGACCAACTTCGTGGAAATGCGAAATCCATTAATTTGGACGACACCGCACGAAAAGCATTCTCCACAGTTAAGGAACTGATTGCTAAAGCAACAATGCTCGCACATCAGGACACCGAAGCACCCATTAGCATCGCAGTAGACGCATCCGACTCGGCAATCGGAGGAGTCTTACAACAATGGGTTAACAACTCCTGGCAACCCTTGGCATTTTTCTCTAGAAGGTTGCTAGACACCGAATCGAGGTACAGCACATTCGGTAGGGAACTCCTAGCTATGTATTGTGCTGTACGGCATTTCCAACACTATATCGAAGGCCGTGAATTCACTCTTTTCACGGACCATAAACCGCTCACTTTCTCGTTAAGCTCTCCTTCAGACAAGTACTCTCCCCGTGAGTCTCGACAACTGGACTACATTTCGCAGTTTACTTCAGATATTCAACACATCTCTGGAGCAAACAATGTAGTTGCAGACGCCTTGTCTCGCATAACTTCCTTGAACAGTTTCCAAGGAATCGACCTTCTTAAACTCGCCGAGCTTCAAAAAGAAGACACTGATCTTCAGCACGAGTTATCGTCCACAACCCTTAAACTACGCATCAAACAGATGGGAACAGGTAAGGAAACCTTACTTTGTGACACATCTACAGGTAGGGATCGCCCAATCGTGCCGAAACATTATCGACGCAATGTCTTCAACACATTGCACAAACTTTCTCATCCAGGTGTTCGTGCAACCATCAAGCTTATAGCAGAACGGTTTTGCTGGCCTGGCATGAATAAAGACGTGAGGGAGTGGGCACGCTCCTGTGTAAGCTGCCAAAAATCTAAGGTTATCAGACACAATAAATGTCCCTTAGGCTCGTTTAAAACTCCCGATGCTCGTTTCGACCATGTTCATCTGGATTTGGTAGGACCTTTACCAGATTCAAATGGATACTCTTACCTCTTAACCTGCGTAGACCGTTTCACTCGATGGCCAGAAGCAGTACCTATCAAGGACATCACTGCTGAAACAGTGGCCCGCGCCTTCGTCGAACGATGGGTAGCAAACTTCGGCTGCCCTTCAACCATCACTACAGACCGCGGACGTCAGTTTGAATCTGATCTTTTCCGTCGTCTGACCACACTTTTAGGAATCACTCGCTTCCGAACGACCGCCTACCATCCACAAGCAAACGGGTTGGTAGAACGTTTTCACCGACAACTAAAAGCTTCGCTATCAGCTGCAAACGTTTCACAGTGGACCGACGCTCTTCCACTCGTCTTACTAGGTATCCGCAATGCAGTGAAAGCTGACATTGGATACACTGCGGCTCAACTCGTTTATGGAACGACACTTCGACTTCCAGGAGAATTCGTGGATCCTTCGTCCTCTTCAATGAACATGGATCTAACCTCCTACACGAACAGGCTTACAAACGCAATGCGTTCAGTTAAACCTGCTTCCACTCGACCTCAATCAACTGATGTTTTCGTTCAACCTGACTTACGATATAGTACACACGTTTTCGTTCGTCGAGACTCGCATCGACGACCATTCGAATCAGCATACGAAGGACCTTTCAAAGTTCTTCAACGTGAATCTAAGTACTATATAGTCGATAAGAACGGAACCAACGATAGCATCAGCATCGATCGCTTAAAAGCAGCGTATTTAGAAGGAAATCCTATTCACGTCGACTTTCCTTCGGTACAATCGCACAACACGACTCCTACACTCATAATTCCTCAACCGACAACCAACACTAGCGATGATACTCCGAATGTATCTGAAAATAAACTTAAAACGACGCGTTCTGGAAGAAGAGTAAGATTTCCAGAACATTTAAACGACTACTGCACGTAAGGCACTACTCGACATTTTATATTATCTCGATTTTTTTTTACGATATATAATATTAAAAAATTTTTAATATGCTTATATATTTATATTTTTATTTAAAAAAACAAACAAAAAAAATTATTTTTTAACGCTATTACGTGTGTTTGAGTTTATTTTCCATTTTTTTCGCCGACATTGTGTTTTTACGCAAATACGAGTGTATTTCGACATGCACTTACATTTTCTTTTTTCTTTTCCAGGACGGCTGGAAAGGAAGATGAGTTTACGAGGAGTCGAAATTTTCTTTGTAACTTTTTCCTTTTTTTACTATGTTGTACCTCGGTCCCATATAGTAAGGAAAGACGACCAGACGCTGCTAAATTTAGTAAGCTATCAGAAGAGTGTTTACCAACGACAAACTCGTTGGGTTTAAACTTCTGGCTGGCCACGTCTTAGGGTCGTCACTGCCCCACTTGGGGGGAGTGATCTGTAGCGGTAAATAAATCCCCAAAATAAATGGCACCTTCTGTTGATATATTTAAACCGACATTGGACCTCTACAGTATTACAAACTGCAAGGATTAATGTAGGTCGATAGACCTCCTATGCTTCTTACTAAAGACTTCACGGAACACACGTACACTGGAGGCGACAACTCAATTGAAGCTCGGTTCTTCAACCTCATCGATGACTTGGGCTTATATGAAAATATGAGGTCGGCAACTCGTTGGAGAAACAGTCAGGCACCATCGCGCTTAGACTGTGTATTCACAAACGAAGAATTCCTAGTTGACAACCTCTCAATCCTGGCTCCTCTGGGAAAGAGCGATCATGCCGTCATAGCCTTCAGTTTTGTCATCAAAACTAAGCTAAGGTATCCCAACAATAATTTGCGTTGGAATTTTAAACGGCTGAATGTGCCAGCTCTACATGACTATCTACAACAGGTGGTTTGGGATGTTCACCCTCAACTCGATGTGGATGGTCATTGGGACTTCTTACTGCACACGCTCTTATGTGCTACAGACCATTCAGTTCCTCAAACGGTTCCCAAAAGCTGCAAGCCACCTACAGTAATCAAGAACCGTACCCTTCGCCTGCTAAGCCGCAAAAGGCACTGTTGGGCGGAATACAAACGAACTAATAACGATGGAGCGTATAGGCAATATAAACATATCAGGAACATATGCACGAAGGCTATAAGAGAAGACAGGCTTCAGTACCAGACAAAGCTTATGGACAAATTCGCCTCTAACCCTAGAAGCCTATTCCGTTATGCAGCCTCTCTTCGTCAAGCCAAAACAGGAGTTTCTCAACTGGTAGGTCTTAACGGCCCGACCAACAACGATGGCGACGCCGCTAACCTTCTGGCGGCACATTACTCTCAAACATTTCAACCGGCTGACATCAACTTTACTGACGACAGTTTCATCTGCAATTCCACAGGACTTTCCGAAGTAGACCTAAGCGCTGACTTGGTGTTCCGGAAATTGCAGCACTTAAGATTAGACACTTCTCCTGGCCCGGATATGGTTCATCCTGCCATACTGAGGGAGGCAGCCTCAATCCTGGCAACGCCGCTTAGCGTGATGTTTTCACACTCGCTTAGCCGAGGCAAATTACCGGAAAATTGGAAGTTGGCTCACATCACACCAATTTTCAAAGGTGGTCGACGCAATGAACCTTCAAGTTATCGGCCGGTGGCTCTTCTGTCATTACCTTCAAAACTCATGGAGTCCCTGATATGCGACGGTTTAAATGACTATCTACTGTCCTTAAATTTCTTCTCACCCCAACAGCATGGTTTCAGGAAGGGTTACTCTTGTATAACCAACCTGCTGACTGCGGTGGACAGATGGACAAGCATCCTCGATTGCAAGGGAAAGGTTGATGTCATTTACCTTGATTTCTCAAAAGCTTTTGATAAGGTTAACCACTTGTGTCTTATCAACAAGCTCAAACGACTAGGTATCAAACCACCTCTAATCGATTGGCTTACTTCATACCTAAAAAATCGACACTTTAAGGTTAGGGTTAATTTCACTTTATCTCAGGCTATGGAATGTCCTAGTGGGGTCCCCCAGGGCTCAGTACTAGGGCCTCTTCTCTTCTTGATCTACATAAATGATCTTCCTCAACAGGTAACGTCAGATGTATTACTTTTTGCCGACGACGTGAAACTTTGGAGAGAGATACGCAACCAAGACGATATACAGGCACTTCAGGAGAATCTGACTCGACTTCAAAGTTGGGCAGACGATAACGGACTTACCTTTAACACTTCAAAGTGTAAAGTAGTCCATCTGCGACATGTAGCAAACTACAGTTACAACTTAGGAAACTCCTCTATAGTAGTATCCCAAGTCGAAAAGGATTTAGGAGTCCTGGTGCCCCATGATTTAAAGTCTTACGCTAACTGTGACAAAAATGCCTTCCGAGCAAACCTTGCACTGGTAACGTTGAAGCGCATTTTTGGACAGTTTGACGGACGAACTTTCCACACAATCTTCAATAGTTTTATCCGTCCCCATTTAGAGTACGGAAACATAGTACTCCCTCCCTCACTCCAAAAGGACAAGGTCACTTTGGAGCGTATCCAACGGCGAGCCACGAAATCAGTTCGAGGACTCAAATCTAAGCCTTACGAAGAACGCCTCCGTTCACTAGACCTTTACCCATTAGAATATAGGCGTCTTAGAGGTGATTTATTAATGGCTTATAGTATTCTTAACACTTCTGGACATCCTCTTAAACACCTACTTAAGCTTAGTTCGAATGATAACCTAAGGGGTAACACCCAGAAACTGGAAACACAACATAGCAAGACGGAATGTAGACACAACTTCTACTCCTTAAGAGTTGTCAAAAGCTGGAATTCGCTGCCAGCCGAGCTAGTCCAAGCGACTTCTCAGGAGTCCTTCAAGAGGCAACTTGACCTATTCTTAAGGAACAAGGACAGCATCACACTATGATTTACCAATTTCCTTTCCTCTTTTATTGTTAACATACCTAGGTTCCTGCCTGGAGGATTTGGTGATCCCCTGCTACTAGACACGGAAGCCTGTTAAGCGAAAGCTTCTTCTATTCCGTCCACAACCATTTGAACCATTTGAAGATTGAAATTGGTAAGCGCGTAGGTCGAAAGAAGTGGTCTACGACTGAAGGTTGGTTTCACTTCAACTGACCAGATAACAATTTACATGTGTAATTTGCACAAATAGTCAGTAAATTCTGAATATTAATATGGTAGAAAAGTTGATCTGACATTTGCTCATGTTGTCAACGTAGTCTAGGCCCTGCGTACCAGTCAGCTTCCTCTTAATTCTGAAGAACGTTCACTTTCTGCCCTCCTTTGTTCTTAACTCAGCTGTAGAGTGGGATCGGTTATAAATGTTATGTAACAAAACTATATTCAGAAGGTCTCCTGGCTTTGAGGTTCGCGATACAGTTAACGTTCTGAGTTCTGTTTTAAACATAGAATTGTCTTACAACACCATTTGAATATTCACTTGGAACTTATGTTGTCACTTCTCTGCCACGCTCCTAGTTTTAATTTAGAGCGGTATCTTGTTTTTTTTCATGAATGACGACTAGACAATTTCTTTCAGGATTGAAAACCGTCATTGATTTACTTAGTAAGGTTATTAGTTTCTAAGTTGTTCTTTATCTGATCTTAAACTTTTAATTCAGTGATAGTATCCCTACTCAAAAACTCGTTTTTTGGCTATATTTTTCATATTTGTTCTTATGATGCTTACCTATCGGGACATAATATTTATTTTGACCTCCGTACCCAAGGCGTAGTTCTTCCATGAGTTTACCCGAGCTCCCAACTTTAGGGAAATTTCGGGGTATTTTGGGCAAATCCCAAAGTCAACTGACCTTGACCAAGGTTAGAGGGGAACTTTTGAGATTTCCCCAGGTCTGGGGCAATTTTGGGGTTTTTGTGCCATGTGCCCAAAGTTTACTATAGCGGCTTACTTACTCTCACACTAGCCATCGTCTCACGTTGCGGTAGGCGGTAATTAGGCATACGTAACGTATGTCCTAGCCATCTCAAGGATAAATATTCACTATTTCATCCGTCAGTTTGCCATCCTTACCAAGTACGCTGTGTCTAACTTCAAGATTACTCATCCCTCGAGTTACATCAGTCTACTTTGGGGCGAATTGTATAAAGACTTTCAAAGAATTGTGTAAGAACCAAGAAACATGATTGGAGCTTCCTGACGAGTTAGAAGCACCAGCTGCATCTGGTTTCTGCCGTAAACTTTCAACTCATAGCCACTGACAGAAATTATCGTATTGTGAGTAAAAGATCTGTCACGCTAGTAGTACACCAATCAGTAACGTCCTTAGACGTCTTGGACAGTGGGCAGGGTACTTTGAGGAACAGTGCAGCTAACGTGTTGCCTCAAAAGCATCGATAAGATTTTCTGGTGACGACTGATCCACCTAACGAGATGATATGCAAGAAACTCCGACTCCTGAAGCGCTGCAAGTCACTAGACCTAGATGGCTGAACTTCGGTTCTTTTGAAGGAAGGTGGTGGACTTCTGGTCAGAGAAGTGACTAGGCTGTTTGGGAACTTACTTACGCCTGTTACCTCTCGCGGAGGAGCATACGCCGCCCACCAGGATTCTCCATCGAACTCTGTCCTAGGCAGTCCTTTGAAGTTTCTGTTCATTTTTTTATGTTTACCTCCGATTTCCGACTCAATATGTCCATTATTCTTCCTCTTTTTCTCCTCACTTCAGTATTCCGAGTTTTTTATTTTATTTGTTTGAACACATGAATATTGGTACAAAGGAGGACTGAGTACATATGTGCAACACAGTCACGGGATTTATGTGTGGGCTGTGATACTGCCCGAATGCCCAGACCGAAACAGGTAGTTTTCTTAAGCGGCCACACCCGGAGCCTTCGACCTAAAGGTCTGATCCACAAGGCAATGGAGCGACGTCGAGATGCAGTCCCATGGTAGCCGGTGACCGACTGTTGGTTCGCATTGCATTTGTTCTTTCAGATCCTAGAGCTTATGCACGCCATTGTTTTGGAATCATGGTTTTCTAACTCCCCTAGGTGGACCCTCCGTGTCCATCAACCCGGTTAAAGCGCTGGACATTCGCTTTTCGTCCTCTCAATTTCGTAAACAACACCCCGTCCGCGAGAAGGCAGTGAGTAGGACTTCCCTGGCAGTGGCTGTATACTCGAGGAAGAGTGGACTCTCCTCACTCTCGGCCGTACCAGGGGCGGTGATTCCGAGTTCGCGCTTGCCTCATGATGACGTTTTGATGATTTCCACAATGTATGTCCTATCCACTTCCAGAGTCTTACCGAACTTGCCTCTTCATCTGGAAGCTGGTTTGTTCTCTCCCACAGTAGGCTGTTGCTGATGTTAAATGGCTAACGCACATTCAGTATCTTGCGTAGACAATTGTTTATAAATACTTGTAATTTTTTGATGATGGTTGTAGTAGTTCTCCAAGTTTCAACTTCGTACAGTAGAACTGTCTTGACGTTCGTATTGAATATTCTGACTTTGATATTGGTTGACAGTTGTTTTGAGTTCCATATGTTGTCCAGCTGTAGAAATGTTGTCTTTGCTTTTCCAATCCTTGCCTTTACTTCATCCAATCCCCCTCGTTCATCAATGATGCTTCTCAGACATGTGGAAGTTTCCATCTCTTCCAGAGTTTCTCCATGTGTTATTGGGTTAGTGTTCCCTGTGTTGTATTTCAGGATTTTGCTTTTTCACTTGTGTATGTTGAGCCCTACTATTGCAGAGGCTGCTGCTTGTATGGAAAGGTTCGAGAGATTATTATGTCTCAGAAACGGGATTAAGTAGAATTGTTCAGTTTAAATGTTGCTCCTCAACTTTATCATCAATTGCATTATGAAGGCAGCTCTGATGGAATTACTCGTGGAGTGGGTCTGCTACTCGAAGAAAGACTTCTATCTTGAGTATAGAGACGATATTCAGTCAGTCAGTCATCAACAACGTGGAACTTCGTACGTACGTACATCAATTCGAATTGCCATGCCACATTAGCACAGAGATACAATTGTCAATTCAAATACCGTAGTGGTAGAGGTAGTAAAAGTATAAGCAGTAATCGGAAAAATTAGAGTTTGAAGATGTTATTCAAAGAATATAACCCAGTGAAATAAATTTTGAAATAGAAAAAAGAGACATGAAGAATTCAGAAGATTAGAATTTGGGAGAACACAAGGAGTGGATGCACCTGCACCATTGCAAACGATTTTGAGCCATGTCATTCAAGGTGTCTAACCATTGGTTACTATCGTCTCGCGAATCCCAACCAGGTAGTCTACACCTACCAACATGGCTCAGTCCACTTGTCAGTGACTCCATGGATTTGTGCCATGTTTTGGTCTGGCAGCCCGAACATGCTTGCATTGTTGCTTACGGTGGTCAGAAAACTCTGCATTTTGTCAGCGTCTTCACCAAGCAGAACTATGTCACCGGCATATTCTAAGTCAACAAGTGAATCTCGCTGTAAAAGTTCAACTTCTGGAAATTTAGATGAGGAAAGTGTTATCTCTAAAAGCACTTCAACGACAAAGTTAAACAAAAATGGAGAGAGTGGACAGCCTTGACGAACACCACTTGAGGTAACCAATCCTGATGGTAGTTCGCCATAAGCTCTCACTCGGCTAGTTGTGTTCGAGTAGAGAGCCTTTCTAAGTTTGTTGTACTTCTTCGGTACTTCTTTCATTGACAGACACTGCCATAGAACCTCACAATCGACCGAGTCAAATGCCGTCGTAAGGTCGAGGAATACTACTATTGTGGGGTGTCTGAATGTGTGTCTGTGCTCTAGGACCTGACGTGGTGTGAATATCTGGTCTATACAACCACGTCCAGGTCGAAAACCAGCCTGGTTTTCTCTAGTCTGCTCTTCACGAGCTTTAGTTAGGCGTCGAAGTATTATTGAAGCTAATATTTTAGACACTATATTAGTCAAACTGATTCCTCTGTGATTGTCACAAGAGGACTTTTGTCCTTTCTTATAGACTGGCACAATCAGTGGTTGAGACCAGTCAGATGGGATTACGTCCAGCTTCCAGACTCTACCTAAGGCCTCAGTCAACCTCACTGCCAATATTGGACTGCCATCTTTAAAAATCTCAGAGATAAACTTATGAGGTCCTGCTGCTCTCCCACGCTTCAGATTTCGTATAGCTTTTTAAACTTCATAAAGAGTTGGAGTACTTTACGACGATATTGCTGGTGGTGGTGTAAGTAGTGAGATCAGTCTGCGTAAAGTGGAACCCAGAGAGGCTTGCCTCAACTCGGACTCTCCTTGTCGCTGTCGTGATGCTAGTCTGGTTGTGAAAGGTTGGGTCTACGATGCATCGGTGCAAGTTGTTTTACTCTATAGTTTTGAAACTCGATCTCCATGATACTGGGGTGTGAAAAAAGCTAAATAGGACTAGCATCTGTTTGTCCATTACAACTCTTTGGCTGGGGCCCGAGATGTGGTGCAACTCAATGGCTTGAGACGTTATCACACATGGCTCAGAATAGAGGTCAATAGCTAATCTGTTAGACCAGCTTTACATGTAGGATAAATCCAATTTACAATAATACGGTGTTTTCTCATCGTGACCGTTATCAGGCATTTCCTTAGTGAGTATCATCTAGTTTATCTGTCATACGAATTACATTTAGTTTGTTTCTGTTTCAAGACAAAAGGTTAACTACCAATGAGGCTCAATATTCTTCTAAACTCCGTAGAGAAATTTAAAAATGTTGTTTATTGATTGTATTGGGTTATCGATTGAAGATGACTGATCCACTATACAGATTGCATAGGTAGTGTGAATCGCCAGCTCATAAATTCTTTTTGGCTACAATTGTTTGTCAGAGTATTAACGTAGCTATGTATGATCACTTTCCGTTTGCAAATCAATTGTAAACACATCCGGTATTACGTTAAACTTTTTCACCCAATTTAGAATTTTTGAGGGTAAACTGAAAATATTCCATACTTGACATAGCAGTGTAATAAGCCGGGTAAAGGAGAGAAGCATGAGACAAAATATTAGTTAGTAAACTGAATAATGCGTCGCAGTGATGTCAGTTTATACTTGTCCTCAAATACATCAACTAGCTTAGCTTTGCATTAGAAAATGGTTTACTACATATGTTTCTAAAAAAATTATGTACTAAAACTCCATCATCATTCATTTGATATAGCTTTGCTTCGCTGTTGCAAGAGTATTTATAAATTAGGGATTACACAAAGAGCTATGAAGTAGATCAAATATTGTTGCTTGGAAACGATCTACAATCTTTATTAACAAATAATTTCCTCATTTCCTAAAACATGGCATTAGCGCGCTCGTATGTAGGTACTCATATTCCTTAAAACCTCTAGTTTACATAAGATATCTATAGAACTGGTCACCAGTAGACTTCATTTTCTTTCTGTATCACTAATATTTAAGTAGTAAAATCTTATTTGAATTTGGTCTTTTGTAGCTAATCTTGAGATGGACAATTTAATAGCAGATGTATCAGACATTGACTTTATCATTGAGAGCCAACTAGAAAATCAAATTGGATTGGGATGTTTGCCTTTCTCAAATATGAACAGTTATTTAGATTTTATTTAATACGGTTTCTTTAGAGTCCGGTGCTGGCGTTTGTCGTTTTTTTATTATTAATCAATGTCCCCTTAATAATTTATGTCCTTTGAGACATATCAAAGCTGACAGAACAGTCGTATGCAAGCATTGGCTTCGCGGATTGTGCAAAAAAGGTGATGACTGCGAGTTCCTACACGAATATGATATGACTAAAATGCCAGAATGTTACTTCTTTTCGAAATTTGGTAAGTTGAGCTTCAGATTATTTCTTACTAGTGGTATATAGGAGAGTGTATGAATAAAGAATGTCCATTTCTTCATATTGACCCCGCCTCTAAGGTACAGGATTGCCCTTGGTATGATAGAGGGTTTTGCAGAAACGGTAATAGGATTCTTACTTTTAGAGATATGTCTAGGTCCTTTGTGCCGAAATCGACATGTCAGACGAGTAGCATGCAAAAACTACATAAATGGTTTTTGTCCTAAAGGACGTGAATGTAAATATGCGCAGTGAGTAAAACTCTATTTCTAAACTTTGTAGCCCTATATGGTGGCCCCTTCCAGGAAGTGATCAAGATACACAGAAAAGCCGCTGGATATGTCATTACTGCAGTAAGTTTCCTCTACATCATATACTGTGTATTAGTTTCTGTCTTTCGACTTTAAAATGTACCGTATTTTGCATTTTAGATGAACGTGGACACAAATACAATTTTGCCTCAAACTATCACCTGAGGAACGTCTTCGACTACAGGAGCAGCAGCGAATGCAGAATATTAGCACTGGCGGCGCAGCGTTGCCTCAACAAGGTGTTAATCCCGGATCTCGTTTTGTTTCGGAACGTCTCAAGTTCGGTGGTCTTATGGGGACTTCACAGGCTGCTCCTACTGGACCTCGACAAGGCCCACAAAAACCACTTGACGAAGTAACATGTTTTAAATGTGGAGAGAAAGGACATTATGCGAATCGATGCAACAAAGGCTATTTAGCATTTCTCAGTAAGGTTTCACTACAACCCCATGAAATGGAGAGTGCTCGTGGCTGATGCAAATGTGAAACTAGAAACCAGTGTATTGTAACCTGTACAGCTCTTATCTACATTTTTTATTATTTTCTAAAGAACGAAGCTGAATTCCTATGAACTAAGTTTTAGTTTTTGACTGTAGTAGCCTCTTAGAATGTGAATATGTAGCGACCTAATCGTAAAAGTAAAACCGTAATTGTCAGCACTTGTCAGTAAAGTGTATCTGAAGTTTTAAGAAATAACTTCCTCTAAGATTTCCCATAAAAGAATTTCTATCAGAAAGTTATAAACGCCAGTTTGCCAGTCATCTTTCATTTAGCTCAATTGACCTTCACTTCCAATCCATATGATAGTTTGGAGTTTAAGTTGGTGATTATTCCCGATTATGGAAAACATTTTATTGCTACAACTTCGGATGAAACATTTGTTTTCCCAACGTCTAACTACACACGAGCCGAAAGAAATCCTTAGATACGCAGTTTACACAAAGTTTAACCATTAAAGTAGTTTCCGCCAACTTTTCAGATATATATTTATTAATGCATGATATTAACCAATATTAAACTTAAACTGACTATTAATGCTACGCATTAGTAGATTTAGTCAATTAGAAACCATCGCTATATTTGTGGCCAGTTAGTGACATGGTACCGCAGTATTGTAGACAACTGCATAGAACTGGCATCTGACGAGTCATCACGAATCCCCATTCAGGGTCCTAGATATGGTACGACTCTGTAGCTTAAGATGCTATCAAATATAGTTCGAAATAAGAGCCACTGACGATTCTGCTGTAGTTTCGTATCACTTTCTTCGTAAGTTAGGTGAACTCCTTTAACTGGATGGTTTCTTTTTTGAATGTATTATCGACTGAACTACATCTCTTACTACATACTGTTTTTATCCATTTATTTAATGATTGTACTACCATTTCCTCCCGTATTTCTTTTGTGATGCAATTTTATTGATTCTACATTGTACTGGAATCTATATGCATGCAATGAATAAAAATAAACTTATAATCGGATTAAACAGCTTAAATTGTTTTCGTTTATTAGTGTAATCTATTTGACGACATCAGTCCACTTACTTGGTATTCAGTTGGTCTGCATACATATATCCATCTTAGTATATTGTGTTAGTGGTATATGTTAATAATTCGATTTGAACTTTTGTGATAACACGTTTAAAATGTCTCGATATCATCATGTAGACGACGGGTATGATCGTCTAGACTGAACCATGTTCCTTTCCATTTTCTTTTCAGCAAAGATACTTTATTTTTGTATGGTCTTAAAGTCATTTGCTTGCTGATTTTTCCACCAAGGTCATGAATTTATGGAACTTCGAAATACAAATGCTGCAATACATGCGTATAGGCAAGCACTTGTCTATAATTATTTATTTAATGATTGCACTCCCCTTTATTCCTTCCCAACATTATCACTTTATTCGTATAGTCCACTTATTTTGGTCCCTCACTGTACCAGAATTCGCATGAGTTAAATAAAATAAATGTAGGTTCTGTGCGGCATCAATTATTGTCAAAAGCCCTAGCTAAAAAAACGTGTCGTAAATCCAAATACTCATAGCGTTGGAACACAATGTAGTGATATTGTGCTGAACTAGGCCCAACGAAATTGAGCTGCGAGCATCTTACCAATTGATGTAAAGTGGCTAGGTCGGTCGCTACTTCATTCCTATTAGAACGCGACCAATATACTACTAGTGGCAACCGTTTCGAGCTGTTTGTAAACATAGAATAACAAAGTCATTCATTATAGCAAAATATGAAGATTTCAAGTTGCTGAATAGCGTCAGTTTAAATATTGCGGGAATCTCACTATAACATAGCTTCTTATTATCTATAATTACAACACGTCTAATCAGTTGCGAGTAGCTTTATAATTATCAGGGCGAAAGTCCCGATGAACTACTTATTAAACTTAGATAACCATCTCAACAAAATTTAGTCGAACTAGATGTAATGCTTTGAAAATTACTTCGTTATTCAACCACTTACACGTCCTTGAGCCATTTATTTGCTGATTATCATTTTCTGTCTAGCAAATGCGTCATTTAAAAATAACGGAGCTTTTAAGTGTATATCCTGTGATAAATTTCAAATAAAATCCACAACTTATTCAAAATTGCACCAGTCAGTCACATTTTCTGACAGTCTTAAGAGAAAACTTGAGGATAGAATGTTTTGCAACTGTTGATCATAAGATAGCACTAGCTTAACAATAGTGAACGGAGTGGTTTTATGCTTCAAACACTTTACTTAGCCATTTTCATTAATGTTGCTAAATGTGAAGTTATTCACATTTCACTGGTGATACAAAAGGCTTATTAGACTTTTCTTAATGTAACCTGCAACTGGTTCTTGTAGGATAACAAATACTTACTAGCACTAGGATTTTGCTGCTTTTTAGAAGTTTTTGAGGACTAGAAAATATTGTTATAAGTATCCTCGAAGTGCTGCCTGTGTGTGGTGGAATTGCTGGGTAAATAGTGTTGAAGTTAAACACAAAATCTTAGTTCAGAAATAAAGACTAATTAGTGGAATTTTAAACCTACGAAGAAAATTAGTTAGCACCTAAATTAATGAGCTAAGTGAAGCAAAAAAACTGATATGACAGTTACACTAAAACATGATATCAATGCACGACGTTACTAAGTATTAATCTACAGCACGGAGGCTTCCTCGTAATGTTCTGAAATTAGTATTTGGCGACGACATGATAATATAACATGCAGGTAAATTAACTCGTTACCTTCCAGCATATCTTTTGATTTGTTTCTGTTTTCGGTAATTTTTATCTTACATTGTTAGAACATGTGTGATGACTGGGAAAGATCCAATGTTGCATAAAACATAACTACTGAAACCTAGTCTTGGAATGAATTATAGACGTATCCGCAGAGTCTGCGTTATTGTATCCCTGGAATATGATACTTCAGTTGAAAATTTAATATTCACTTCATACAAGCGGACGTTATTATTCTTATCTACACTGAACTTTTTAAGTGTATCATGTTCGTCTAGTCACTGGTACTGATCAAATTCTGTTGATCAACATGCAATATGGCGAACTAGTCTGAGTGACTCGGCGCCGCGTACAGTGTTTCAATTTTTTCGTTTTACGCTAATTGGAGCCAGTTAACAGGTAGCATTTGTAGCGTAGGGGGAAGTGATGCTCTCTGTGAGGTCCGATTCTCAGTCACTGTCACAGATGTCACCATTTTGTTATTCGGACGGCAGCTGACCTGTAGGATACATTCATACTAATCTATCACTAACCTCTCTCATACTTATCTAACTTTGAGTGACAATTGAATCCCATCGACAAAGTTGCGATGTAGAATCTTTGAACTATTAAAATGTACCAGAGTCCGTCACTTGTCATATAAACAACAATGGAAAACATTACAATGAAGAAAATACAACACAGGCGATAAAATACTCATTTTAATGATAATAATATTCCACATTTAATACAAATAAACACTACAAGGAACAGTTTGTAAAACAGCATCTGAATGGCCACAAACTAGAAGATTATTGGAAATATCAAAAGAAATAACATTTCTAGCTGATGTATCTTCGGGTAGAGCAGATGATACAGTTAACTTACGACGTGAACCTTTGAATCCAACCCATGAATCTTGAAATACAGAGCAGTTTTACAAAAAAAACGAATTTATAGCATTGATAGCATATCATAGTAAAATGAACTAAATAATATAAGGTAACAAGATTGATGTCGCATAGAAGCTTGATACTTCATGCTGAACTGTCTGCCATCTTGTAACATTATGGATAAAACACCAAGTTATCAGAAAAGTAATTCTATCAACACAAACTTTAGTTAGTGAAATAGTCAGGTTTAACAATGAGATCTATATTTACTGACAGCTTGTTTATCTAAGCACAAACATTGGTACAAAAGGGTATATATAGGCTACACAAATGTGTAATGGTTGAGATACTGCCTGCTTGTCCAGACCGAAACAGCTAGTTTCCTTAGGGGACTACTCCTTGAGGCTTTGACTAAGAGATCTGGTCCATTTATTTCCTCAGGATCCTGGAGCCCATGTGCACCACTGGTTTGGGATTATGGTTTTTCAACCCCCTCTAGATGGTTGCTTCGTACCCGGTTTAAGCCCCGGACATTCGCTTTTCATCCTTTCAGTTTCGTTAACAACACCACCTCAGAGAGAAAACAGTGAGTACGACTTCACTGGGAATAGCTATATGCACATAGTCATATGAAACCACTTGGAGAGGGAGAAATGACTCTCCTCACCCTCGGCTGTACCAAGGGATTACTGACAGTACTCACCTAGATTCAACAGAATAAAACTGGAACAGGAACGGGATGAATCAATAATCTTGTCTGCAATATGATCTCAAACATATTTAAGTACTTAGAACTAATATTTTGCTTGCGTAACATGTAACAATGAAGGAGTATTACTGAGTATGAGTAGGGATATAGAATTATTTGCTACATCTTATTACCATAATCATTACGGCGTTTGGAAATTACAGCTATCACATTGAGTTCTTTCTTGTTATGACATGTCATGTCATGTGCAACATAGGACCCGCCAGATATCTGCATTTGTTCAAATTGCCATACCACATTAGCACAACGGGATAGAATTAAGAAAAATTCCAGAGTAGTAAAAGTAGTAACAGCATCCGTAGTAATAGGAAAGGTTACGTACAGAAAAAAGGTGAAAAGCGGTTTTGTGATTTAGGTTCTCAAGGAAGACAGAGTGAATGCACCTATTCCATTGCGAAAGATTCTGAGCCATGCCACCCAAATTTTTGAATAATTAGTTACGATGATCACATGCATCCTAATTAGGTAATCTACATCTATTTAAACGACTTAGCTCAGTTGTCAATGACTTCATGAATTGGTATCACGTTTTGATTTGGCTGTCCTTAGCTTTCTATTTAAAGGGTGCCTGAAAATAAGTAAGATATTTTCTGTTAATCCACATGATTCACAAAAACTTTATTTTCTTCACCTCGTATCCCGTACACTTAGAGTTAGCACTCGCTTAGTCTATTTACTGAATGTGAGTTGTGTTGACCAACTGGCTAACATACGAATTTTCTCTCTACGGTCAAACTGGATAGACAAATTATGAAAACAATAAAAGTTTAATTAGCAGTTATACATATGTGAGAATAGACTTTAAATAGTATTCACTAACAAAACTTGAAACTATCACGTCATTTTGGGAAAAATTTCGAAAGCGAATAGATTTTCATTCATAATTATGAGTTTAGGACTATACACATTGAGTCAGTCGAAATTTCACTATGAATAAATGAAAAGAAAAAAAAACCCCAAATACTGTTGAACTTACCTGATTCATCACGACTACTAATTTGTAATAAACCAGCTGTTTCCGTAGCCATATATAAATGTTTCGGTTGACGTGGATGAAAAGCAGTTTCCCATATATATTGACCATCACAGGCTACTTCAGTTAATGGATATTGTTCAGCTCGTAAATCCCATATATAAGCAGCTGCACTAGAGGAATTAACACCACCTACAGATAAAAGATGAGGTTGTCCAGGATGTTGACCCAAGCATAATAAAGGTTGGGTTTCTCCAGGACTTTAAATAAAAAAACCCAAAGTGTATAGACTTATGAGATAGTTCTTCAGCAAATGTTACATCCAGTAAAAAGAAGTAAATTAAATAGAAATATCGATTGAATCTATATTAATCTAAGCAACAATATAATACGTGTAACTGAAAGCTTTTAGAATATCTTGACAAAATTCTCATTGAATAGATTTCTGTTTACGATGATAAGGATGTTCGAGTTTTTTAAGTGCAAAACTCGACTCCTGAGAAGTAGTGGAATGTGAGTTTTGTATTCAGAAAAGTATAACAAAGTTGAATAGAAATAGAGAGTAGGAAAATATAATGAACGTTTGTAAACTAGGTCAATACAGATGAGGACTGTAAATTTGCACGACTTAAGTGGAAAGATGCACT